TGAAATAGTCTTTAAGATTCTTAAGAAACGAATGATCTTATGAATAATCTTTAAGATTCAATAACGATCACTCACGTTTATTTTATGAAAATGTCAATTTTTATTATAAATAATATAAAATAAAATAAAAGGAACAAGACAAAAGTAAAATAAAAAAATTCCATAAAATAATTAACAGTGATACGCTTACAATTCGTTGATCGTCTTAATGGAAGAAGAAAAAAAAAAGAAAAAAAAAAAAAGAAAAACAATCAAAAAAAAAAAAAAAAAAAAAAGAAAAAGGATTTATACAATCTCATAAAAAATTACGAGAAGAAGGAAAATAATCGGACCTATCGGATTACTCGGAGAAATTGATTTGAATCGTTTGATGGATTTAACCAAGATCACTGTATACAATAATAGAGATAGGTAAGTAAGTAAATAAGTAAATAAGTACTTTAAGTATCTACGAGGATTAAACTTGTATTCGTATTGGCTAATCAGGTTTACCATTAGACTCCCGTAATCTTTCACTGCAATTTGGATAGGTCAAGCGAGAAGGTACGAGAATACGATGGCGGTTTGAAACATGCCGAAGGATTTTAGCTTTAAAATGTGGGAAGCTCTCGGATGTATCTATGCAGCCATGTACGTGTCCTTATGTATATATATATATATATATATATATATATATATGTCTGTATGTGTGTGTGTGTGTGTGTGTGTGTATGTGTATGTGCTTGTGTGCGTGCGCGAAATGTTACGAGAAGGGATGATATCTCGCTAAAGGAAGTTTATTTCCTCGACGATTGTACGGGCTTGTAGAAGCTAGTGGATTTGCGGAATGGCGGCCAGCAGAAAGCCATGGTTAGGCCGGAAGGTAACGCTGTAAAACAAGACTCTCTCTCTCTCTCTCTCTCTCTCTCTCTCTCTCTCTCTCTCTCTCTCTCTTTCTTGTATTCACACTCGCACTTGTAGTCAATGTTGAGGATACCAGCCGCAAACGGAGGATACATATAGAGAGCGACAAATTTAACCGACGGTCGGTCCTTCGTGGTTTACGGATTTCACTGGACTTTCCTATTTTCAAAGAGACTTACTAGGAACGTTTCGCCGTGTGCTATTACCGTTACTAATTTTCGTTTCTCTTCTAGATTCGAATTTCTGGAAAATTATGAAATAGAAATACGTCCCGTTCTGAGTAATGCAATTATACGTTCGTACGTTATGCCTGCTCGAAGAAAATTATTTAAGAAAATTATACGGCTAATGTTAGTGAGTATCATAAATTAAACACGAAATCTCTTATCACTCGTTTACGTATAAATCTTTGATAATCGTTTAATCGCTATAACGTCCGTTTAAGTTGTACTTTTATTTCTTTTTTCTTTTTTCTTTTTTCTTTTTCTTTCACTTTTTTTTTTCTTTTCTTTTTTCCTCTCTTTTTTCTTCTTTTTTTTTCTTTTTTTTTTTTTTTAAATATTGACGAAAACAAAATTTAAATTAGAGAACGATTACGGTTTAATTGATAAAACGTTAATGATCGTATTAATTTAAATTTATGATTAATTGTATCCTAATATAAAGAGGATTCACTTTTTTTCTTTTTTTTTTTTTATATCGATATGACGATGTGATTAATGTTTCCTTTGTTTTCAAGGTCGACGTTAATCCTTTTCATTATTTCTTTTCTTTTCCTTTTTTCTTGTTTTGTTTTTTCTTTTTTTTTTTTTGTCTTTGCAATCGTTACACGATTATTATTTAATTCATAAAGAGTACGCTCTATGGTATATAGAAGACGTTAGAGAGCGTTGTATTCATATAAGATCGAAGCACTCTCGTAGTTAAAAAAAATAGGTTAACATGATGCGTAAACGTTCGATCCTCTTCTCTCTAGAACAATTTTCCACCCCGATATTTATGGAGAGCATTTATGAAGCTCTCTACGTAAGCTCTGGATCGTTGGTTCCCCTTTAATTCGACTCAGAGAGCTTTCTCTCTCTCTCTTTCTCTCTCTCTCTCTCTCTCTCCCTCTTTTCTCTCTTATGAGTAGTAGTTCGCATAAGGGATGTTCATAAATCCGAACAGGATATTTTTCCTTAATGTTCTTTTATATTACTATGCATCTCGTTATCACATTGTCCCTTATAAAATAGATTTTAAATATATAAATATATATTTGATTATTCGAAGAAAAAAAGAACAAAAAAAAAAAAAAAATAAAAAAAAAATAGAAATAAAAAAGAGCTAGATCATTCGACTTCGATCAAAGTGAAATGTAAAAATTGTATTAACGATTTGTCGTTTATAAATTCGATGAGAACATTTCATTTGTAAATTATAAGCAAACGAGAAAGTATTTTTATATTCGTCGGTGTTACGTAAATTCCTTTTTGTTTCTTTTTTCTTTTCTGTTTTTTTTTTTTTTTCTTTTTTTTTCTTTTCCTTTTTTCTTTTTTGTATTTATAAAAAATAAAATTCACCAGAAGGTATCAACAACGTGGATTGAAAATTGACAAAATTGAAATTTTACCTTAGAATTTTTATTGAACAATTTATATTTCGAAGTGTATTGTACGTAAACGATATAGTTCATACGCACACGCGCATAAAGCGCGTTCCCCATCGATATTCCGGCATAGACTTTCGATA